CATGTCTGAAAATGTATGCCTTTTTCTGCATTTTAAGTTCATACCTCTTTGTGAGAAGGTGATTGGAATGTTTCACCTTCATTTTTTTTAGACTTATTTTTTGTCATTACAATGATTGGAGTTCTAAAGTCTATCAAAGTTGCTTTCTCTGTAATGTTGTTATCATTGCATAAATGGTTCTTCCAGTTCTGTTCACTTCACTCTGCATCATTTCACAGAAGCCTTTCCACTTTCCTCTGAAATTGTCCATTTTATCATTTTATGGCATAATAATATTCTATTATATTCATATAACACAATTTTTTAGTCATTTTTCAGTTGTGTCTGATTCTTCATGACCCCTTTTGGGAGGTTCTTGGCAAAGATCCTAGAGTGGTTTGCCATTTCCTTCTCCAGCTCATTTTACAGATGAGGAGCTGAGGCAGGCAGGGTTGAATGATCTTTCCAGGGTCACATAGCTAGTAAGTGTCCGAGGCTGAATTTGAACTCAGGTCTTCCTGACTCCAAGCCAGGCATTCTATCCACTGTGCCACCTTGCTGCCCCACAATTTGTTTAGCCATTCCTCAATAAAAGGTTTCCAATCTCTGGCTACCACCAAAAAAAAAATACTACTATAGAACATTTTTATACACATAGATCCTTTTCCTCTTCCTTTGGGATATAGGCATAGTAGCTGTATAGCTGGGTCTAAAGGTATGTAGAATTTGGTAACTTCCTGGGAAAAATTCCAGCTGCTTTCCAGAAAGTCTGGACCAATTCCTAGATTTAAAGTTTTATGTATCACCATGTAACTTCTGGCCTCTTTGTGCCTTAGGAAAAATCAGTATAGAGGAAATATTTAGATAAAAGAAATTAGTAGAATATATTGCAGTATCTGTTAGTAGAGAGTTGGAGAAAGAGGAGACCTCCTGGGAGAACTTCCCTCAGGCCCTGAAAAAATGTGAAAAAGTGAGAACTTGAGTCCACATCCTCTGTTCCAAGATGCTCTAGGGCCCTGACAACCCACCTTGATTTCTCCTTTCTCTGTACACTTCAGCCATCTTTACACTTCCTCCTTTTCAGATACTTCTGGTGACCCCAATACTTTCCAGCTCTGCTTGTCCTGGGAAGGGCTGGAGACACTGTCTTCTGGCCATTGCTGCTGCTGTTGCTAATGAAACCCTGTTCCCTTCCTTTCAGTCTTTCTAAATCTGGGTGTCCTTTCTAAGAATTCCCCGGCATGACTCAGGTTTGCCTTCTGACTCAAATATTGCTATGGTCCAAATCATTCTCAGCACTAAGAGGGAATTGTTGACCCTCTGAACTACAAATCCTAGGATTCCAGGCAGTTCTCAAACCTTTGTCATATCTGAATTACTACTACTGAGTCTCCAAGAAACTTTCCTGGCTTTTAGGCTCCTCTCCACCATCTAAATCCATCCTCAACACAGTTTATAGGGCCACAGGACCCTAGATCTAAAGCTGGGAGGGGTCACATTAGGCCAACCCCCTCATTTTATGGGTGAGGAAATGGAGGCCCAAGAGGTTAAATAACATGCCCAAGGCTGCATAAATGGCATCAGAGCCTGGCTTGTATTTCATTCTGATCCCAGAGTGAATCTTCTTTTTACTCTACCCCAATGCCTCCTGAATCTAAGAGCTGGAAGAGAGACAACTTCATAGTTTATAAGATTTAAAGCTGAAAAGAGCTGTAGACATTGTTTAGTTCTCAGATGAAGAAACCAAAGCCTGGAAATTAGATGATTTGCCCAAGGCCACAAAGAAGATACAAGATTTGAATTTTTAGATCCTCTGATATCAAAACCAATCTTCTATTCACTATATAATATTCTAAAATCACAGAATCATAGATTCTTAAAGTCAAAAGGGATTTCAGATTTGTTTGTTTGTTTTCAGTTTGTTTTTTCAGTCATTTTCAGTTGTGTCTGACTCTTCTTGACCCCATGTGGTCAAGTATCTTGGCAAAGATACTGAAGTGGTTTGCCATTTCCTTCTCCAGCTCATTTTACAGATGAGAAAACTGAGGCAAACGGGGTGAAGTGACTTGCCCAAGGTCACACAGCTAGTAAGTGCCATGCCTATACTATGTCATTTGATTCTCCTAACAACCTTCTGAGATAAATTCTGTCAATTCCTTTTTAGACATAAGGAAAAGTCTGAGATTAAATGACTTTTCCAGAATCACATAGCTAATAAATATCTAAGGGAGAACTCAAAGTCATGACTTCCTAATTCTAGGTCCTACACTCTATAGACTATACCACTTAGCTATCTTTATTCAAGTTATTGAGGAAACTGTTAATTACACAGTGCCAAGGACAGATCCCAAGGCCTTCCACAAGAGACCCCTCCTCTCCAAGTTAACAATGACAAATTAAAGATACTCTTTAGCTCCATTCATTTAACTAGTTCTGAACCTATCTAACCATATCATCATCTACCCATATCTGTCCAACTTGTCCACAATGGTCCTATGAAGTATTCTGTCAAATATTTTCCTTCCTGAAGCCTTTTACTACACCTACAAAATTCTTCCAATTTACCAATCTCATTATCCTGCCAAAAAAGGACCTATTCTTGGTGAAGCTATACTTACACGTAACAAGCATTGCTTTCTTTTCTAAAGATTCACAAACCATGCCATCTATGCCTTCATCCAAATCGTTGATAAGTATGTTGACTAGAATAGGGCCAAAGACAGGAAGCCATGACTTTCTAATAGAACATCAGAGTTGATATCAGTCCATTAGTGACCACTGCTTGTGTCCAATCATTCAACTAATTTTGAAGTCACTTAACTATATGAGTATCCTGTCCACTTGTTTTCACCGAGGATCCTCTGATAGAGTTTGTCAAATGCCTCACAAAAATTCAGGGGAATTGCATTTGCTGCAATTCTATGAGCCTAGTAATTCTGTCAACAAAGAAAATGAGGTTAACCTGGAAAAATTTGTTCTTAGTGGACCCATTTTCGTTAGTGATTATCCTTTCCTCGCTAAGTGTTCAACACTCCTTTAATAATCTATTTTAGTATTTTGCCCTAGGTTGACATCAAGCTTATCAACCAAGAGTTTGAAAATTTTACCTCCTTCCCCTGATTGTTAAAAAAAAATTTGGATAATATTCACTTGTCTCTAATCCAAGGGCACCTCTCCCATTTTTCATGATTCCTTGGAAATCTCTGTCAATATTTCAGCAATTATATGGATAAATTCTTTTATTAGCTTGGAATGGAATTCGTCCTGACCAGGTGACTTGAATTTATTTCCATATTTGCTTGATGTCTCACTTGGGTATTCAATCCCTTTTAAGAGCAGTTAGTGGTGTTACTGTTTTTGTTGTTGTTATTCTACCCTTCTCAGTGTGAGCACCATTGTCCTTCATGGAGGAAATAATAATAATATGATGCTAACCCCAGTGGTATTACTTCCTTACTCAAGAATTCTCAATGACTCTCCATTGTGTACAGGGCAAAATGAAAACTTCTTAGCCTGGCATTCTAGATCCTTCACAAAGTGACCTCAATCCTTCTTTCCAGCTGGACTAAATACTACATTCCTACAGGGATTCTCCCCTCCACTCACCCCAATCTACTCATCAACTGAACACACCCTTCATTTTTCAACCTTTTTGCTATGGTTCATATGGTTCCATCTAGAATGCCCTTCCCACAAGCCCAATTTATTCCCCGAAGCCTTCCATGACTACTCAAACTGTGTGATCTCTCCCTCCAAATTCCTATAGCAGTTACTGCTTGAATTACTCACATGGCAATTATTCATAAGCTGCTACTTTCTTGTGATGGCTTTTCTATTGTCACCTTTGATTAAAAAAAAATCACTGATTAAAAAGAGATCCAATGACAAAATAAAACAGTCCTTACATGCTAATGGAGGGGGAGGAGAAACAACTTAGATATCCACATTTAAGTAAATATGAAATGTATACAAAGAAATTTCTGAGGGGAGGGTGCAGGTCTAATATGGAGGATAGCTTGTTAATAGAACAGGGATGCCCGAGAGCACAATGGGGGAGGGTAAGGAAAAATATGGTTGGGATACAGGATAGATAGAACTGACATGGCTTGGTAGTCAGGGAAAGAAGCTTTGACCTAGGCAGTTTACAATTCAGAATCACAAGGATTCTGAGTAGTTGTTGCAAAGTAGGTTGTCATGCACTGTACAAAAGCTATGATAATGCCTATGTTATTATCAATCCCCACAACAAGAGGTAGAAAATACCTCTCGTGAGCCTGCCTAGCAGGCAAGGACAGGTCTTGATTTAGCTTCCCAAGAGTACGTCTTTTCTTAGACCTAAATTATAAACTCCGTGAAAACAAGATGATGTCTTGGATTCACAGACTCTTAGTAGTCAAAAGCACCATAGAGATGACTTAGTCTAACCCTTTCATTTTACAGATGTGAGAACTGAGACTCTGAGAATTGAAATGCTTGCCCAAGGTTATACAGTTAATAAATGTCAGACTGACATCCACACCAAGTCCAATGCTTTTTCCTTGCTTCTCTCTCTTTTATACTGGAATCTCTCATCACGCCTTGCACATAGCAGGCACTCAAATATCTTAGATAGTTTATTTTGGTTTTGTATCCCATAAAAACTCTTCCTGGTCACCCTCTGACCTTCATGGGCTAGAACTTCACTGCATTCTCACTTCATCAGGACACCTTCACTTTGATCATAGCTCTATTTGTTTGGGGCACTGAGCTATGGGGACCTCTGCTCCTTGCCCTGTGGGAGCATACAGACTCAGTTATTTCTTCTTTGTTGAGGTTCTGACTCAGCTCCCCAGATCTCTGAATTTCCACTGACTATAGGGAAATAGTTGGGCAGGGCAGGTCATAGACAAAACTCTGAAATGAGTGAAATCTGTCTTTTGATACCTTACCTCCCGCTCCCAGCATCTTCTGTTTTTTCTCTCTTCAAAAATATTCCCTCCCCATCCTGCCCCAACCCACCCTCCTCCAAGCAGAATCCTCCCTAGTGTCCTCATTCTGTCTCCTCTTCCTCATCCCATTCAAAATTACGCTGAGGAAATAATTGAAAACTCATTCATACTGAGATGTCCATGACTGAGAATGGTTTTTTTTAAAAATATCCCTCCTACTTGCATTATAACAGAAATCAACTCTTGAAGCTAGAGGAAAGTGGTGGAATTTCTCTAAGTAGGTAAGAGATACTTTTTTTGTTTTGGAGATGGGATTCTGAAGTTGAGGTACCATGAAAGTTGACTAGTGGTTATGGGTGGGAGTAACAGAACCTTCGATTTTTGCTAGGCTGATGAGAGAGGTGGAACCTTTGTGTTTCTCAGGAAATCTCTGGTGGCTATCTGATGCTGAATGTTGGGTTGGTTGGGAGAGCGGGGTGAAGTCTTGAGGGGGAAACTTGGCACAGGATTCCTGGATGGGGCTGATTTTCCAACCCTTTCTTCTTTAAGGTTGGGTGGGAGCAGAGGCACAGAGAACAATCTGCTACTAATAAGAAAATCAATTAGCTGGTGTTTGTGTCACGAAATACTTCAATAAAGATTTTCCTCCTTCCCCCCACAAAAAAAAATTTCCACAGCGGCCTGTCTGGTGCCAGAAAGTATTTCCAATGTCATACTCAGCTCTTGAAGCAACGAAAGTAAATAGCGGTCATGGCATCTGGAGTTGATTACCAGGAGGAATTTGTTTGAGTTCCTTGTCTCTGTTGTATCCATGTGCGACTACAATGTCAGGGCTTCTGCTCCTATTTGGGCCACACCCACACAGGGTTCCGGAGATGGGAGAGCAGGGGAGGGGCCACTGTCACAAACCTGTAGGTCTCTTTGCCTTTTGCTGCTTTTGAGAAAGCTGGTAGAGAGGGAAAGAGATTAAGAAATTTAGCCCTTACCTCCGCCCCCCCCCAAAGTACTTAAGTGGCATATCTAACTCCACTCCAAAAGAAATAAGGACACATTCATTGAGTGGGGAAATTTACATGGGAAGGGGAAGAAAAGGGGGGGGGGTGTCCAGAGGTTTTACCACTAACTCTAGCTTTGTGACCTCAAGCCAGACACTGGACTTCTCTCCATTGAATGAGAAGGTTGGATTAGATGATCCCTAAAGCCGATAACAGCTCTAAGATTCTCTGAAATGTCATTATCCCAGTGGCAAGAGTGGCTCTCTAGATGGGTTTCCATGTTAGAGGTGGTGGCAGCTTGGGACTCTAGCCCAGAGTCTCCCTGGTCTCCATGTGGGGACTGGAGGCTAGGGGTGGGGAAACATTCTCCTGCTGGAGGATTTGCTCTCAGCCCCACCCACCCCTCATCCCCCTAGCAGTCCTGGGGAAGCTGGTATTTCAAATATTTTACTAAAGCTCTCTAAACAGTTTAGAGGCACTGTAAGTGCTTTGGCTACAAGCCGGGGCTGCTCTCTGCAGCCGGCAGGGCAGCCCTGGGTGGGAAGGGAGTCAGTTGTCTCGGTAACCATGGTGTTTTCATTTTCCCAGGAGGGCAGTGAGCTGCACTGGGTAAAGGAAGACTGCAAAGCCTGGCCACGAGTGTGTGTTTGTGTGTGCATGCGTGGGAGTGTGTGCTGGGATGGGTATACGGGTGAGGTGTGCCTCTGAGCATATATGGCTGAGAATCTAGGACTGTGTATGAGTGTATGTGAGATCAGGCTGGGAGTGTGGACATCACGGAGCAATGGAAACAGCCAGCTGGAATCAGTCTGAAGACCTGAGTTTGACCTGGGCTCTGCCACTTCCTTCATGTGCCTTTGGGCAAATCAGTCCCTCTCTCTCCAGGCTTCAGGGTGTTTGCTTGTTCAATTCAATTCCAGAAGCATTTTTAAAGTTCCTCTTTTGTGCCAGGCATTGAGCTAGGCATTGGGGGGTACAAAGACAAATTGTATGGAAAATGACCTAGTCCAATCAATCAACAAATTTATTAAGTGCTTACTATGTTCCAGGTTTGACGCTAGGTAGTGGGGGTACAAAGACAAAGAATAAAACCATCTCTAGTCTCAAAAAAGATTGTACTCTAATAGAGATGGTGTCTAAAGTCCCTTACCTCTGGAATTCTACAGTGGTTGTCCCCCAGCGATCATGCCTGTGAATCAGTGCATATGCATTTGTGCTCAGAAAGGGTGGTAGTTTTTTAAGTAGATATAAGAAAGCAGGTGAAGAGGACTGCCATATACATTACCTCAGAGTGAGAAAACGTCTCAGGGGCCAATGGACTAGTCTAGGGATCTTCTCTTACACCATCCCCAAAAAGTGGTCTGTGGTAATTTAGCCTCTCCCAAAAGACCTTCAGCAGGGATGAAATAACCTTCGTCTTCCATCCCACTTGTGGGTGGCTCTAATTGTTAGGATAAGAGGCAGCATGACTGTGGAAGAGATGGGGGTGGTCTTGAATTCAGTAAGACATGGGTTCAAATTCTGCCTCTGTGGCCACAGACAAATCATTTAAATCCACAGCAACCCTCTAAGACACAGAAGGAGTGCCACCCCCAACCTCCACCAATGAAGTCACAGATCTCCCTTCTCACTGTTGACAGCCTCCAAGGAAGTTATTCCTAACTATTCCTTTTTGTTGGTTGTCGATGTTGAGCAGTTTCCTTCTTTAGTTCATTTTACAGATACAGAAACCGGGGGAAACATTTCTTGTTCTACTGATTCTGTTTTCTAGATTTGTCTCTTCAAACATACCTCTTCCAATCCTTCAAAGCCCCTTGGGTCCTCTGAATGGCCAAAGGTCTGTCAATCTCACAGGCAGAGTCAAGTCAAGAGCTAATCAAGGGGAGAAGGGTACAATAAGGTAAATTTATAAATATATATGTATATATGTATATATATATATATATATATATATGTGAATGTACATATTTTCATGCAAAAAAAGCCTACAAGGAGGTGTTTATTTAGCATTGGGTTACAGTGACAGTTCAAGTCAACGATGGTATACAATACCCATTGGGTACAATTTCCAACTTGGATTCATGTACATTCTTTGCCCGGGTTTAGCTCTCAAGATTATGGTGCAGCCAAATGAAAAAACATAGGAAAAAGTCTTTAAGGTGGCATTATCTCTCCTACCCCATCTTCCATCTGAAATTCCCGGGGTAGACAGACCTCAAAACCATCCCAAGGGGACCAAAATAAGCAGAGTGATCATCACAGTGCCTCGACTATCTTTTAAAATACCTTTTGTTGAAACCTTTTATCTTGACTTTCACATGGAGGGGGGGAATCCTCCTTCCCCCACCAATTGAACCTTCCCTTGTAACAAAAGCACTTAAGTAAAACCATTAGGTAGTGATGGGATAGAGTGGTTTTATCTGACAGTGAGAGAATCCTAGAAAACAGCATGAAGTAACTGGTGTCCAAAAGGCTTTGTGGGAGTTTAGAGAAGAGAGTGATCCATGTGGGCAAGAGCTGTCAGGGAAGGCTTTACTGAGGAGGTGAGACTTGAGATGACCTTGAAGGACAGGAGGGTATGGATAGATGGGAGATTGGGTAGACTGAGGGAGAGTGGAAAAGAGCATTCCAGATGGTGGGAATGAACAGGCGAGAGTTCGAGAATAGTGAGGAAGCAGGTTAGTATTGAGAAATAGTGGGAATGATAATTTTCATTTCATTATCATTATGGATCAGATATATGGAGCCAGATTATCAAGGACCTAGAGAGTGCCAGGCTGAATTTCTAAAAGAGTCCTTCCTATCCATAAGGGCTACCTATGCAAACTTTCTAACTAGCAGAGTAGTAATCTAACTTTTCAAAGAAAAATCCCTCACTGGCCCTGAAAAGCAACTGAAAATATTCTGCTGGCCAGATGTCCTTTCTTTCAGCAGTTTGGTTTGAATGATTACTCTGATAGCCTCTGATTGAAAAGTGAAGGTTTTTGAATAGATATTAATCTAAACTAATCTAGTATGATCAGAAGAGAGGAAATTACAATGTCAGTCTCTCTCTTTGTGGTATCAGACTTGAATCAGTTAAAAATCTACTTTTAAAATCTGTACCACAAAACTTAAAGCTTTAATGAATGTTTGCTAATTCATTAAAAAGAATCCTTTTGTAGAAGTTGTAATGAAGCTCTGAGTTTTTCAGGCAGATAAATCAATAAACAGACACTTGCTACGTTTCTACTGTGTGCTCTGAGATATCCTGGGGTACAATACCAAGAGTATCATAGTGGCCATGCTAAAAGGAAAATATTTGCTTCCATTTAATTTCATAGGATGAGAGTGTATAGATGCTAATTGGAGAAGAGTAGGAATTCAAGATGCAAGCCATTCACAGGGATGCTTTTGGGTGATGACAGAAAGAGAAGCAGCAGCAGCAAAAGCATTGAATGTCAAGACACCTAAGTCAAGAATTGTAGAAATTATACTCTGGCTCTACTGGGCAAATGTGAAGGGCATGCAAGCCTGGAGCTGAGATGCATATAAATCAAGCATCCAGATGTTGGAGCAAGCTCCCTGGAACTGGCAGAAAAAAGAGGGCATCCAAATGGGCTGAATTTATAACCTAGAACTCTCAGAGACAGTCTTCAAAGTCCCCATTGGCACTCAAGCTACTGAGATTTCTCCTATTAGTGTAATGAGTTTTGTCCCCTGCTATCTTGACTTGGATGTAAGAACCATTTCTGTTTATTGTATGCTTCGTAATAAACAGGTTTTACGTTCAAATGTTTATTAATAATATTGATTTCAGATGAAAATACCCCCAGGGAGAGCTAAACATGAGTTAAAATCATAGGTTTTCACAGAGGGATTTGTGGGTTGGGACAAACACAAGTCATACCTGATACTATACAGAAGTGTCTCAAAATCAAACCCAGGACAACTGCCAAGAGTAGAGAGTTCTGCAGAGAGAATAAGGGGAAGGGAATGAATATATATATGTGTGTGTGTGTGTGTGTGTGTGTGTGTGTGTGTGTGTGTGTGTGTGTGTGTTGTATGTGTGTATATATATATATGTATATATATATATATATATATATATATATATATATATATATATATATATTACCACTTACTATGTTCCAGGTTGCTAAATGCTTTACAAATATTATTTTTTTAAAAAAGCAAAGGGGTCTACTATTTGGGGAGTAGGGGAGGTAGATAGCATGTAAAACAACAAATAATTTAACAAAGTAAAATGTGGTAAGTGTAAAGAAGAGAGAGGTCAGGACGAAAGTGCTGTAAGAAAATATGAGGAGAGATACAAGAAAGGATCCTTGCCCTCAAGGAACTTAGTAGGAGAAACAAGACTACAAAAATTAGCAATACAAGAAAGTATGCATGAGGTGCCCAATCATTGGAAGGTCCAGAGAGAACAAGGTTCACAAGAGTTCAGAAGAGGAAGCTGATCCTTTAGACTGGGTTGGTGAGGGAAGGCTTTACAGAGAGATGGGCTTCATTGGGTGGGTGGGACTCAGCAAAGTAGAGAAAAGGTTGGAGTATATTTAAGGGGAGGATCAACACAAATGAAAAATTGGGTATGAATGTTCAATTATGATGGTAAGGGAGAATATAGTAAAAATTGATCCCAGACTGGAAAGTTTTCTTTTTATGTTGATTAAATATTAAGAACAAGGATTAAAGGTCAGGATCTAGACCCCCTGGAACTGATAGAGAAAAGAGGATGTCCAGATGAGCTGATTTATAATATTTGGCCTATTGCTATTCATTCTAAGTCTATAAGGGAAGCACTGCAGAATTTTGAAGCTAGGAGTCCACTGGTCTAGTCTCCTCATTCTACATACAGGGAAAGGGGCAGCCAGATGGTGCATCGGATAAAACACTGGGCTGAGAAGCAGGAAGGTTCATCTTCCTGAGTTCAGATCTGGCCTCAGACACTTCCTAACTGTGTTGACCCTGGGCTAGTCACTTAACCCTGTTCAAAATTATCAATTTCTTCATCTGTAAAATGAGTTGGAAAAGGAAATGGCAAACCACTCTAGTATCTTTGCCAAGAAAATCCCAGAGGAGGTCACAAAGAGTCAGACGTGACTGAAATGACTAAATGTAGACAAAGTGAAGTACATAGAAATAAAATGATTTACCTAAGTTAACCCAACTTGTTTGTAAGAGACAGAACTAGAACCCTTGTTTCTGATTTCAAGTTTAAGGCTTTTTCTGCTACTCCACATAAACTCTGAGCAGCTTTTAACAATGGTCTCTGACTTCAGCATCATCTTAAGATGAGGAATTACTAAAAAAGTCTCTTTGTCCTCTCTTCCAGGAAGCCTTCCGAGATAAATGTAGGGAAAACTTCATTGTCTCAACTCTAATTAGATTAGAAAATTCCTGTGACTATTCTGTTCTCTTCTCCTTATAATTAAGAACTTATATACCCATTTCACAGAATTGTTGTGAGAAAAACCTTGATTTTTTTAGATGGTGAATTCAATTCACAGCAATGAGCATTTATTAAATACAACTGTGTAATGAAAGGCAACAGGGGTTGGTGGATAGGCAACTGGTCTTGGATTCACGAAGATCTGGGTTCAAGTCCCATTCTGACTGTGTGACCTTAGGCAAATCTTTAACTTCTTAGTGCTTTAGGCTAGAAGTGTCAAACAAACAGCCCACAGGCCCCATGAGGCTCCCGACACTTTTGAGTAGAACCTATACCAGATTAAAATGTAATTGGAAAATATTTAATAAAATAAATAAAACTACAATAAAACATAGATAATGTGGATTTGTGGTTTTCTGAACCTAATGTGTCACCCACAGGGATCCTTATATATGGTTTCGCACCCCACTTCTATTTGAGTTTGACCCCTCTACTCTAGGCAACCCTCTGAGACTATAAGTTGCAGAGAAAATGCTGATCTGCATTGGTAGAGGGAATTTCCTCTTCCTAAAGTTCCCAGTGAGAGGTGAAACACTGTGTAGAGCTCTGGATTTGGCGTCAAGAAGACCTGAGTTCAAATTCTGCCTCAGACACTTAAAAGATAGGTGACCCTGAGCAAGACAGAACTTCTCTGCTCATCTACAAAATGAGGACATTGGACTCAATGGCCTCTCAGGTCCCTTCAAGCTCTAAATCTTTGATCTTAATGAAATCACAGGCCCATTCCCCATCCCCCATCCTTATGTCCAAATGGAGATGTCTGATGATGCAGAGAAGAGAAGGCAGGGCGAGGCATCAGGAAGATCTAGGTTTGAAATTTGCCTTGGACACTTCACAGCTGTGTGAGTATGGGCACATCACTGAACTCTTCAGTGACCCAGGCAGTGCTTTAAGATTTTAAATCTTCTTTTTTTCCTTTAAATTTTTATGGCTATCTTTTGTTTCTTTTACATCCCCTTCATTCCTCAGTGCTTTGGTGAAGGGAATTTTCACATAATGAAATAGTAGATTCAGACAAAAATAACTCCCCACGCCCTTTACAAAGACAGGACACAGATCCTGTTCTAAACTGGTTTACAATACAATGCGGAGAAATATAGGAAATAGAGAAAGACTAGAACTGTGATTTCACTGATACAGGGGATTCCACGATAAGGAAATTCCCTCTGGCAAGGCAGGTTGGCATTTTCTGCAACTTTATTGTCTCAAGCATTGAAAGGTTAAAGTAACTTGCATAGGGTCACATAACCAACGTGTGTCACAGGTAAAACTTGAACCCAGGTATTCCTGGCTTCCAGGTCAGATCTCTCTGGCTACTACTCCGAAGTGCCTCTCTCCTTCGAAGTAATCATAATATGAGGGAAGAAAGAGTGATTGTTGTTGTTGTCTGTCCTTCATTTTTGGAAGAGGACCATGACATCAGGGAGGTGATGCCATAACATGAAAATGAATTGGACTGAAGTGAAAGAGGGCTGTGCAAAGTCACCGGCCTCACTTTCTCCTCTGGAACCAGCCGAGTCCAGTGGCAAGATACACATCAAGATGACCAGAGATGGCCCCCAGAAAAAGAAAGCATCATGAGAAACCAGAAGAGGGAGAAATTACTTTCTCTGGGAAGGTGTCAAGGAAGAATTTGTAGAGGAAGTGGCATATGAATTAGGCCTCAAAGGGAGAGATGGAAAGGGAGAAGCATCCATTGCAGGCATGGGAGACGGCATGACCGCAGGAAGAAAAGAGGGCAGAGAGTAGTAAAATCTGGCTGAATGTAGCATATGTGAAGGGAAAGAGTATGAGCTGAAGAAGGGCAGGTCAGAGCCAGATTGTGTGTGTTTGACGAGTGTCAACAATGCAAGGATTAAGAAGAGCTAGTGATTTATTCAGTGAGCAATGGGGAGCCACTGAAGGGTTTGGAGCAGAGAAATGATGCAATCAGAGAAATGCATTAGTGATTCTACTCAGGCAGGTCAGCATCGTAAAGAATGTACTGGAGAAGCGATACGTGGCAAAAATGAAGAATAACCAGAAAGGTATTATAATAGTCTAGATGAGAAGAGATGAAGAACTGAACTAGGAGGCGGTTACATGTGAGAGGAGAAAAGAGGGTGGATTCTAGAAATATTTTACAAGGCTCATAGGATCCTATTAGGAATCATAGATTCATAGATCTAGAAGATAGATATATTTATATATATGTGTGTATGTTACATATATATATATATATATATATATATATATATATATATATATATATACAGGATCATAGATCTAGAAGAGATTTCAGAAGGCATCTAGTCTAACACCCTCCCATTTTACGGATGAGGAAACTGAGATTTGGGCATGTCAAATGACTTGCCCAAGGTCACATACCAGATAGTAAATATCAGGTTCCTAATTTTTACCTGGTCTTCTTACTCCAGAGCCAGAGCTTATCCCACTGTACCCTGGATTTGCCAATCGACCAATTGATTTATTACGTGGAGCGAAGGATGTGAAGAGTCCAAGACGACTGAGCTTTTGTGACAGCATGACTGGAAAGATAGAAGTAGGGAAGGTTTTGGGGGGATGATGAATTCTGAGGTGGTGGAGGTAACGTTCTACGTGTGTATGAGTTATTATGACTAAGATGCTTCTGTAGCACTTAGGATTTGCTTTTCATACCCTTTGTTTCACTTGATCCTCTCCAACAATCCTGTGATTGTAAGGCAGAATTATTACTGCAAAGTACTTTGTAAACCTTGAAAGTGCTATATAAATCCCAGCTATCATTATGTAACCAGGGGCTCAAAGCCAGTTTCCCTAAGAAGAGCTACTGCTCAGTGCTGAACTCCTGGTTATAATTATTATTGTTGTTGTTATGTCCTTTAGCCTTTTGCGAAAAATGGGAACATAGGAAGAGTTGGTGACTTGTCTAAGGTCACACAGCTTGGAGACAACACTAGAAACCAAGTCTACTAGTTCCTACCCCAGGACAATTGTACTTCTATTTCACCTGTTCAAATTGGCCAAGGGAAATTAAATATATTAGGCTTTGGAGGATCTACTGCATTGATTAGTTCATTCTTCCAGGCAAGTCACGATGTAATTAATGTCTTATCCTTGAATGGAATTGAGTTCTTCTAATAGTTAATATTTATATGGTGTTTTATAGTTTACCAAGCACTTGGGATAGGGATAGGGATAGGGATAGGGATAGAGATAGGGATAGGGATAGGATCTGGGATTTCTTTGGGTTAGGGAGCTTCCAGGTGAGAAACTCCTTCTATTCATGCATATGGGCACCATCTCAGCAACTTATATTCTTACTGAGAAACCTCGAGCACTGAGGTCACACAGTCTGTATATGTCAGAGAAGGGACCTGTTTGAGCTTCACTACAACCCTGCCAGGTAGATATTATGGATATTATAATGGGGCCATTCAGCAGACAAGAAAACCTAGATACAGAAGCAAAATGACTTTTCCTAGTCATACAGCTAGCAAGCATTACTTCAAGGATTGCTAT